TAAGCGTTGCGCGGACGGAAAAATCTCGACACAAACTGGTTCGCGACCCACAGGTGTTTCGCGGCTGGTGCTTGCGTATATAATATATATATAGGCATCGATATATAATACTGTAAACCGTTATATACCTCAACGTATTATATGTATTTACAGTATGCAAATATGCGACCTTTCAACGTCATCCCCCAGTCGGCCAAGGCGGCGGTGGCGGGTGGCATAAGTTATATAAAATTACTTCCAGTAACGAAGAAGTTTTTGATTCATGAGGGGAGAAGAGCTCATTATAATTTTATTTTGTCGCCTCCCCCGTAATCAACGATTCTTTTGTTTTTTCTCTGAAGATATATTGGGTTCCAGTCTACCGGTTTATAAACCTAATATATTTTATACTGTCTATAAGGAAACGCCTCCGTGGTTAATTACACAGCCGGGACGATGCGATAATATCCGATGCAATGATTATACATATGAAGTCTTCTATACTTCATCTCCGAGCAGGATATTATCACCCGATACACGCGACACGCGTTATTAACTACGTATCTATAGCTGCAGACTGCAGTGGCGCGTACTGTTGTTAGGACATCTAGGCCACGGCCCACCCCAAAATGTAATTTTCGAATTAAATCGTTAACAATGACTAATAATACAAATTGGAATAATGGTAGGTACATTATTTTTCTTACTCGGGGCGGGGGATCAATGTTTTTAAGTTTTAATCATAGTTGAAACATGATATACCGAGGTTCTCTTTGAACATCTTTGATTTTCTCATTTTATCAGGTGTGCACCCTCAGCTAACCTCCGTCTTCTTTAGCTGTAATTACCTACTACAGTCTGAAACTCTCCTTTCGGTCAATAATTTAGAGTAGCTAACAACGTTTTTTCCAACGTGCTATATAATTAGATACCTAACACGTGTACATATTTTGATATATTAGTTTGTTTACATATTTTGGTATATATTATGTGAATACGAATACAAATCAATGATAGCGTATGCGGCATACAGGTACCAACATTGCAGTCTTGTATTTAAATTATTGAATAATAAATAATAATACCTACCTTGTTGGTTTTTTCATAACTGATAAAACTTGGATAACCGTCAAAATAATATTTAATTTACGGGTGTGTAGGTAAAGAATATAAATTTTTTTATTTAAATGAGTTGTTTAAATGTTTATTTTAAGTATGTAATCGTTTTATTACATTACATAGCATATGTACGTGCATCACAATTCACACTGCACAATGTACATATATGGACGTAATAAAACTATTAAAACATAAAAGTAAAATTTTAAATTATATTTTACATTAAGTATTACTAAACTATTTATGTGTAAGCACTAAAATGTAACGTTTTTCTCGTAGTAATACCTATTACAATTAAATCAACACATTATTTTTATATTCAATCGTGTTAACAAATTTGAATAATGCATGATTATCAATAATTAATTTAATAAACAACTCTTGTACAAGAATATTATGGTTTTATCTTTTGTGACATAATTATATGTATACACCCACTTTTTGTTCAAATACAAATTATAACTTATAACCTCTATAACCAGGTGCATTGTATACAGTACTATACACAACAAAGAATTTCAACGTTAGCTTACATAAATTTCATATAAATTACTGTGATTGCCGTAATTACATTTAGAATGAATATTATTCTTGGGAAAATTTAATACACTGAAGGTATTAAACTTCACGATTAAAACATTGCAATTCCATATTACCCATGTCGGTTATAAGCATAATAATTAATAATAATACTTTGAAGGTTATTATAGATATGTATCACCAAATTGCATTGTTTTTTAGGCGTTCAGTTCGCAATGTAACTTAATGCACTGCAGTTAGCATATTTTATGAAACGATTTAGGTATATAAATATAAAGATCGTTGTAACAAGTCTGTAGACTATAGTTATACTAATCACTTGAAAACAAAACGGTTTAAATGGGTATACTATTTTTTATTTAATAGTTGTCGGGATGATGAAAGAGGATGTATTAAAATAACAAAGGTGGTATATTTTTTCAAACTCGATTCCTATATTTTCCTCTGAAATCTGTTAATTGCGATAATTACAAGTAGTTTTCCCGGCGTGAGCTAGGGAGAGGGTCTAGGAGGATCACCTTGAGAAATTATTAGAAATTTTACGGTGTTGATTACACAAGAAAATATGTTTTAAAAAAAGCGTTATATATGTTCAGCATACGGGTACGGTTCAAGGGCAATAATATATATAATATTTGTTCATGGTATACTCCATGGATTTTGCAATAAATCGTAAATACGGGAAGATATAGAGTTGGTCGGAGTTCAGACTAGGAAAACAACCCTCGATATAGTTGCGATGCTTAAAAAACGATGAAACACAATCGTCGGCCACTCGGGTGAATGTCCATACTTTAATTATTGTTTTCTAGATGTAAACGGTGGTAGACGGTGTAGCAATAAGACGCGATTCGCAAAACAATTGACGAACTAGACACGATTATTATTGTTTTATGTGTATTATAATGTATCGTCGTATTGAAAGTATGGATATATGTTATATATAATAATATTACATTGAATCAAATAATGCCCATCGCGTTGAAAAAAAAATTTACAAGTGTGTTAATAATATATTATGTAATATGTATACCTACTTATAATGTAATAACATTATAACAGTGATAGGGCCATAAGTGTTTCTAATATTATGTTGGGTTAGTAATAATAATGTAAGCGGTGTGTCGAACGATGCCTATACGCAAAGGCCGGGCCAGGAGGTTAAATGAAAATCTTTCGACAGGATGTACCTACACAAAAACCTAGGGACCATTCGAGTGTCACGTTTCTCGACGCGCCCGCCGTGTCCCAGCAGGAAGCTTGTCGGATGTATCGTGTTACTACAAATATGTACACAGTGTCCATTTGTATATTATTCGTACACAGAGGAGGGGAGGTTAGGTATCTCGCAGATTTCCAAGAACGCTCGTGCGAGAATTCTACAGGTTTTTCGGGTATATATACCTAATATGTATATACATTTTATGCGCGATAATGTCTCACGTAAACGATGAGTGGTTTAATATACAACGTGCATGTAATATGCACTCACTCGCAACTAACCGTTTAAGATCAGATAAATGTTTATATTCTGTAACTACGAGATTCTGTATAGATGTACATATATACAAATTATTCGTAAAACTTACACGTTTTCAAAGAAAAAAGAATCTCAGATGAGTAACCGCGTGCAATACAGTGATACTCTTATTATGGGGTGGGGAAGTAATGCTAGTGCAGTTTCCACCCACTACCCCATAACAGTTCATAAGGAAAAGGTGAATCTTTTTATTCCTTTAAGGTATTAAACATTTTTGTTTTATGCAAATGATATCGATTTTAAATATTGATAACGATAATATAAATGTACACTAATATTATGCAATATTAACATTTTCGATTAATTTTATGTTATTTATCGAACATGAATATAATATGTGATTAAATAACTTTAATTCTGAATATTATAAAAATTGAATGTTCAGTTCTTAAACAGAAAATTGCTATACTTCAATATTAAAATTTTAATTAAACAAACAATTTAAACCAGAAACAGGCGATGAATTCCTATTGGAAAATGAGAACATTTTCAGTTTTTAGAATTATTGTACTCCTTATTTATAAGTAATTATTTTCACTCGTGTACGTCGAATGTCGAAATAAAAGGGTTTTTGATATCTTCAAAATGTTGAGTTTAAACTCTAAGGAATATTCAGTACCTGATTAAAGATGAAAAAAAATTATATGTGCTGTATTATCAGAGATTTTTGACTTTGGCCTAACCCCCCGGGGAGCTAATTATATTTCTGCGGGCGTCCTTGTACCCACATTTTTCTTTCGATACATCACAAAACGTCATAACTTACCATTTTCAGGGCCCACTATATCCTATTGTTAAATACTGTAAATAATTAGTATAATGTTAATACTTATTTTCATAATACAAGTAGGTACATAGTCAATACATACTAGTTGTTCATACACCATACACCATACATCATAATACTTTCTTAGCCGCTTTTGTAATCTTATTATATTTACATATATATTTACCTATATACTACCGAAATACCGATTACGATTTAAGTATATTACATGAATACGGTTCTTCTTCGATAATAGAACGATAGTCGTTAACTTGCCAGTACGGCGTACTGAGTATACGCTCTGCCTACTTACTGGCAGCATATATTTACTGCGATGTAATATTATATCGAGCTTGCCACAAACATTCAAAGTAGACAAACACCATCGGTCTAATCGTATGAATTGCATTTTATCGCATTGTGTTAAAATTACTCTCGTCCGTTTGTGAATTATACCAGTTTATAGGGTACGGTAGATTTATTGCTCGTATACATGTGAGAATGGCGCGCGGGTATACGAACACTGTACATACTACCTATAATATAGTATATAATGTGGCTGCAGCTACAGAGGGCCTATAACAACGGTTCAACATAAGGAGAATTAATTGTAAATTGTGTGATTTATCAACGAAAAAATAATAATAATAGTATTATAATAATGTGCAGACGATCTAACCTTCAGAAGTAATTACGATGCCTAGTTCTTGTTTTGCAATATGCAAATGCCTGTGCAGTTTATTATAATATTTCTCCCCGCGTGTTTCACCGTTTTCTTTTGCCGTTTGACACGTCTCCTTAATATATAATTTCCAATTTCCACCATCAATGGACGATATATAGGTATCGACGCTCTGCGCACAATAGTACGACATGTAATAATAATAACACTACGTATAGTTCACGGTCGATATGAGACGATATATCATATTATATAGTTAGTTTGGTTCTCTATGATCACCTACATTATACATATTGTGTACCTACATATATATTAATATAATATCCAACGAAGGTCATCGTCTCTTAATACATTTACATTTTTGTTCAATACAGGTACAGAGACTGACTCAATACGAAACGTATTTCCAAAGTTTATTGGACGAGACCAGACCGGAACATGGAAGAGGCGCCGAGTACCACGATCTGTGCATGGCAAGCAGCGCCGTCAAACAAGTGAGTTTTTATTATTATTATTATTTCGAGTATTTTTTTTCCTATCATTATTTTCATTCAATCGCCCTCGTCCGTAGGCGTAGTCCTGACTACGTTTTCGTCGAATATCGTATACAATCGATGCCGCCAATGAGTAGGTCTTGCTGATAAACAAACTGCATCGGTTATTGTCCACACCGCACTTATTATAATCCGTATATATCATATACGTACGGGGGAGACCCACTTTCTTCGGTCCGTTCAGCATGACACAAAGAAGCATATCACTTTTTCTCTCGCCTACTATATTGTAAATAATAATAAAAATATATATATATATCTTTTTCGGTCGTGTACATAATTGTCGCTCATTGTGTAGACCTTTGAACCGATAATAATATACGCTTGCGTTTCTTTAATAAAAACGACCCACTTGTACCTATTTCATTTTTTCGATATCCACCACAATGGGAGCTGTCTGAAACGGATCTGCTGTGCACCGCGTATAAAATATAACATATCGTTTATTTTTTTAAATCTCCATTGATGAATAGCGGTGGTGTTCGCTGTAGTATAATAGTACCTACGTTATAAACATATATATTAAGTGTGTGTGTCTACATTGAACGTGCATGTATTCCTACGGTTTCGCCATCGCTCCAATTTAAACAATATAATATAATTAATTATCATTAAAACACCGCTCGCTCGCCAAACGATCATAGTTGTATACGACTTTATATAGGTGTGAATGACACCGATTGCCGCGGCCAAAACCACACCCAAAACCGATACGATAAATCGCACTAGACCGGCTGCATATATAATACACTTATGCACACACTCACACACACACACACACACTAATAATATATTAATATATAGTACGTGTAGTACGACCTACCTATGTAACGGATTTGTACGGGGGCTAAATGTGCCAAGGTAGAGACACACCGGTGCGCGTACCGGTCCAGTGAAATGGTAGAATGACCATATTGGTCTTGTGCCCCCGCGCGTGTTTCACCACTTTGCAATTCATATCTGCGAAGAGGCGTTGAGATTAGACTTCAGCGAGAATATAAGCATAATTTTAACGAATTAGCGATTTTTAGAAAATTACTCTTTTGAACACTTTTTTCCCGATTAAAAAACGATTTGCAATCCTGTTTTATCGTTTGCCTCTATTTTAAGATGACATGCCACGCGGGTAAATATTATACGTTTTTTGTATGATAATATTATAACATTGTTCACTATGTATGTGTACAATATTATAATTATCATTTATCTGCACGAATACCATATAATTGCAGATCACACTATTAAAAGTTGTACGGACCGTTTAACTTGCGGTGACAGCTATGTTTATCGTTAGCATAAAATCTATCTTTCGCCTTATCGTAGATGTAGGTAGGTTTAGGTGTATACGAACTATATTAATATTATGTATTTATTGTAACCGCTTTTATTCGCGTCCCATCCAATTCATATTTATCGACACTACGAAATCGCTAAGAAAACACCTCAAGACCGTGTAATATTTCCAATATTATATTACTTGAGTAGTTGAGTGTATATACAAATCATAAGTCATATACTGAATGTATATATATAATTTATATTACACATATAATGTAACATACGTTCGTGTTATTATAATCTTCGTTTATAATATTTATCTTCTTACGCGAAATATCTATGACAAACGGTGTTAATATCTCTACTTACTATTATTTGCATACAATGAATTGCATGTATAAAAAATGTATATATAATGTATGTTATATCAAGTATATGTATTACAGCGATAAAACTTGAACGCAGAGTTGTCAGGTTGTCGCGACGCTCTCAAATTTCTATTTGTACTTAAAACAAAAATATTTCAAATGCGCAATAATAATATAAATATATAGATGTATAGATACCTATGTTTCTTTAAAGTGACGCGTACGCATTTTGAACGGAAAACTATCATCAACACAGGTTATACTTTTCGGCAATAGATATATTATGCCCGTCGGCTTTTAGTCAACTTAAAAAATCGTCAAGCGGGCACCCGTACTGTATATATATTATTACAGTCTATTAATTGTGTTATTTACACTTTTGGATCGCTTTAACACCATTTATGCATATACATATGAAAGTTTGCTCCTGGCGACGAAATATTATGTGTATAGGATTATGTGTATAGGTATATAGTGCTCTATTTAATGGGACTAACAATCGCGATTGAATTCCATTTTGTTAATTTCACTTCTAATTAAATTCGTGTTAAAAATGTCATTGTTTATACACTATGAATCAAATATGCTGTTTGGAATACAAATTTAATAAATATAATATTGCAAATATTTGTCGTTATTTATGAGTATATTTTTTTTTTACAGACAGTAAAACGTACTCACGAGCAAAGCGATTTGGAACGAATTCAAGATGTTTTCCCAAACGATTTCCTCAGATTATACGACAAAGAAGCCCTCACAATGGTAAGCTTAACAATTTTGCAATACAAACGATCGAAATAAGATATTAGATGTGTATACTTATTATAGAACAATGACACTTTTGTAGTTTTGTCAACAACTTTCTATTTGCTGTTTAATATTTAAACTAATGACGATATCAATTGCATCATTATGTAATGTTTGTATCTGATAAGACGTTTTAACTACCAACTGTCATAGATGTACGCTTTATTTTACTTTATATTATTCTAAGTTATAACTCATATTAATTCGGAATTTTTTTTAGTCTACTTAGATAATTGTAATGTTTTTTTCTCGTTGTTTAGAAGATGAAAGGATTGATTCGGAAGAGAGGAGGAACCGGTACAGCTGCTCTAAGGAGAGCTCTGTCGTCGAAATCGCTACGATCGGAGTCGCCCCCTTCGACTCCCAACAAAATCCAAAACGATAGCCCGAGGAAGTTTATAATGGAAACTCCCGTCCAATTCGTTAATGTAAATAATAACAATTATTATATAATATAAAATACATATTGTATTTTATTATAGTCGTATTTATATAATATTATAGTCTAAACTGCATAACACATAAATGCAATACTAAATAATGTTATCCTATTGTGTATTGGTGTAGGGTGTGCATTGTCAGGAACGTCATTTATTTTTATTCAACGACCTGTTGCTGGTGGCCAAAGCGAAATCCGGTAGTAACTTTAAACTTAAGGACAAGGTCAGGATATCGGAGATTTGGCTCAACGAATCGCCGGCGGTAATCGACGAAGTTGCCGAAATTCCCAAGTCTTCGGACACGTCTTTCGTCATCGGATGGCCGACCACAAACTATGTGGCAGTGTTCAGGTTAGTACCTATTTTCGTATGCATCGTATGCGTTATAACTGGTCTCTTCGTCGGGTGTCCATGATTATTTTACTGCTGTGTTTACTTGGGATGTGGTCCCTCAGCGGGGGACGTACTCGGGTCTTTATCATTAGTGCAAGAGGGTCTTTGAACCGACCACATTGTACGACAACGGTCCAAAATATATGTAATCTGTTCTCTTCTATAAGCGCATCGACAAATAATAATCATAATATGCTCATCACCAGAACTCACTGGGACAAACGGTATTGTATATCGGAAAAGGAGGTTCGCTAACGGTACACATACATAATATAGTAAAGTGTATATACACACGTATAGGTTGCCGACATAAACGCAGCTCTTAATTAGACAAAAAACGGCCTATTGTTATACCCACGGGTATATATTATTGTATGCTCATAGCTATATGATCATTATACGATGAACAATAATTTTTATTAAATTGTGTATAGGTCACGGATGACGTCATAATAAAATATCGAGTAGGTGCCTATACCTACCTATATACAGTATATACATCCATATAGTATTATTCCTACTAGTATATACTGACATACTGTATAGTATAGGTAGTACCTACACGTAAATTATACTTAATACTATGTTCATGCTTGCTATTCAATAATGTTACGGTACATAAATTTCATATACTAGCAATTTAAATTTCGTTTGAAACAATATAATGCGTAACATAATAAGTTGTCACCCATCAAAAATCTGCAAACAAAAATGTATGTTTGTATACTACTTGTATACAAATATTTTATGTTTATATACTAATATGTTAATAACAAATACGCCTTTGTTTTCATGGGCAATCATGGTGATAATTTGTCTAAGCCGCTATGCATTCCCAGAATACCTATATAGTTATTGGTTACGATTCTTCATTCAAATTTTTGATAACATGTATCTCAATTACTAGTTCACTATAGTTTCGCCATTAGTTAACTGTGGACATGGTATAGGCAGAAACATCCCTTCACCTCTTATACTAATATTTCATATTGCCAATGTAGCTAATGAAATTGAATAAGTATCTGGTGGTTTATAAAAATTAACCTATCGCGACTATCCGAGTAATCAAGATTTAGCGCAATTTCGTGTTGTTTCCAAATAAAATTGTAATAATTAAGTCGTAATTAAGATCTGATTACAAAATAAAATCTTATTTTATTCTTAAAAAAAATTCTTTTAAAATATCGTAAACTGTCGAATAGTCAACAACAACAAAATTAACACATAAAATAAAATTATCGCCCATGTCGTTTGCATTTCTTGCGTGTTTAATTATACTAAGGTCGCGTCCTTGACAATTGGTCGCAATATATAATAATAATGACATATAATTGTGTGAAATTTTCACAGGGAACAAGCGTATAGGTCGAGCTTTTGAAGTGTACATCACTCATACATGGTTTTTTTAATTGTTCAAAAAAATAATAACAGGAAACGAATAAAAATAATCGTTGTAATTATTATGTTTAGAAACTTTCATCATGTTTTCATTCATTTGACTGCATGTTGTACCATAATAATATTTACGTTTGATATTTTGCAACCGCTTATACTTATATACATTTCCTATACTACTTCCATATAATATTTTATGTATAATAGCCAATAGGTATAGGTAATATTTGTTTTTATAAACTGGCCGCCAACTCATTGATAAGCGGACAGTGTATAATGTATATTATAGGTACTCTTATCTCACCTGGTATCATACATTTAAAAAATAATAATAATTTTCTCCGATCGTGGGAAATCAATAACTTGTTGTGGTCGTTGTCGTTGATACGGAACTAAAATGACCGTTTGCTCGAACGAGTTAAAAGCGGTAATTTGTCACTAACTCGCCCGAGCTTATCGACGACGATCTACGTCTGCGCAGGAATATTAATAATGGTACCTACACACACGCTAGACCGGTTGTCACAAATATTTGGCGAAATAAAATTAGGCGACCTCATAGCTGTTAGTAAGTATGATACTTTAAGGTTAAATTCGTTATGACTTACCACTTACAAATAACGTATAATAAATAGTAATTCGACAAAATCAATATTACCAGACACGTAAAGCATATTATAAGTTATAACTATTGTAGCAGAGGTCAATAAATAAATGATCTCGACGTTGAATTCTTCATAAATCATCCGCTTGTAATGTATTATATTTTATTAAAATATCCCATAACTCAATCTTAATCTACAGTGAAATAATCAATTTTTCGAATTTTCGATTCTTCTATTTTATATCGATTAGCTTGTTTCTATTAATAATACACTAATGTAAATAGAATACTTATTACTGTATAGTGTGTACCTGTTCAATAATTAATTTAATTTATTACGTACCTAGTACCTACATATATTTAGGTATATTATTTTTTTATTAAAACGTTTTTTTCTATAAATTATCAAAAACATAATTACCTGGTAGTCCCCTCTCTTATATCGTTATCTATTATGTACGTTTTGTATGATATGCACATATTGTTTGCTTAAACAATATAGGTACTATATCAGTAGGTATCTAATTTGAAGTTTGAACGCTCAGTGTTCCGAATACGTTCAAAGAAGTTTAACGTACGTGTTTCAATGCATGATTACAATTTTACGAGAAAATATGATAGTCAAATCACATCATCCAACTAATGCATTATACAGACACGGGATAAAAATTATGTTTAGGTACATAAAAAAGTTTTTCGCTTTATTTAATTTTAATTTGAGATATGATGAAAAACTTCGTTTTAAACTTTTAATACCCGGTGTGGAAAGTGGTTGGAATAGTAATGGTAGTTTTAAATACAAAAATCGCTATGGAGAAAATGATTCGTAAGTACATTTTTGTTCATCAAATAACTAATAATTATTATATTTAAACAAATCGTGTATAGTAGGTCAATTAATATTTTTACATTTTATATTAATACAAAATAAATTACTTATTAGAGTTATGATTTATGTCGAAAGAATGTATAATAGCTTTTAAAAAAAAAGTGGAATAATTTGATAAAAATATGCATACGCATTCATTCGTATTGAATTTAATTAGTATACCTATTTTAAATAATTTGATACGATAATAATTTACAATTAATGTATTTATACTTTAAGTAATTATCGTTGTTTTTAAGGCATGCTGAATTTTAGCAAACTGATTTATTTTATATAAATTATTTATTTATGCGAAGATTTAAATTGATAACATTTTCTATTTTAAACAAAAAAAAATGATGATTAAAACAAATTGCAAGAAATAAGCTCTACGTGAGTAATTTGGAAAATTAAACTATTGTCTGCGTGCGCACATAAAATGGTTAATCTCCACTCGTTCTTATCTAACAGAAATAACGTCTATTAGATATGTATAATATAATATATGGTTTAAAAAAAAATATAATATTAGCAATGAAATTATGTGTCTTAAGCGCCAGGCGCCTATACAATTCCAGAAACGCTCGTCGGTGTTGCTTATCGAATTAGGATAAAAATAATAAATATTTGTCGGATTATGTGCTTTACTTTAATATAATACGAGTACCTCCTCATCAATGGAATCTGTTTATGAAATTGTATAGCCATATAGGTAGCTTATTTATAAGTACAAAATATATATTATATAGATCTTGGATCGTTGTCATGTACAATAAATACCGCTTAGGTATATATACTCTCGTCGCATCTAGTAATATATAACTATGATAATAATTTTGTATTGTTTAATGTATTTTAATTAGTACCCAAGCTACCAGAAACTTGTGGTGGTCGAAATTGGCAGAAGAATCGCAAGAAGAAATTCGTAAAGATCCTCCGACAACCAACGTCCAAGTGTTTTACCAAGATCTCAACACTGGCATAGAATACGTGAGTGTCTACTTCCTATGTCCCGTAGCATAATAAATATTTATAAACCCAAAATAATACACACCCGAGTTTTCATTTGTGCATATTACCTTATTACAGTAAATCAGGGTTCACATTTTACTGTGTTGTGTATGGAGTTGATATGTACAATTTGTATAGATGGCGTGTTATCAATGTTTTTTGTTACCTATAATATGTACGATAGCGTTCATGACTCGGGGCAGTATAGTTGAGTAGTTCACTGCAGATTTACACACCGTCTAAACTGATGTAACCACATCTTGGTAACCAGTGGCGATCAAACGATTTTGTCATAAGGATGGATGAGACTGATTTCTTAACATACAAATTAACTAATAAAAACATAATTTAAATATTTTTCATCGATTTGTTGATTAAAAACGGGCCAAAAAGTTAATAATTTTAGCGAAATCGGGTTTTTTTATTAGTTCATCAAATATATATAATATCGTGGGGTTATATTTACAACCCCACGATGAATAGCCATTAAAGCCAAAAACTATTGAGACAACTCTATCATAAAATAATAATTACCTGAACAATTTTTGTTAATCAACATTTGAACATATTTTTTAATTAAATATTTTATCTTAGCCTAAAGCCCATTTTATAAGTACCTGCCTACAGTATTTACTTTCACTAGTTTTTTTTTTATTGATAAAAAAAAAATAATTTTGTTATAAAAAATTTTGAATAAATGTTCATATTTTATCAAATTTAAAAAAAATTATTATTATTCACATTATTTTCTTTATGAAAAAAAAAACAATAATTTGTCGTTTAATTTTTTTATAAATATTGAAATAAAAGATCGCCTACCGGTTTGACCACTCCTATTTGATATCCTAAATATATATTATATTATATTATATATTTATATGTGTTTATATATTTATAGTGCAAGACGTTTGCCATCGGACCGGACGAGAGCGCCAAAGACTGCGTAAAAATTGCATTGGATCACTTGGAGATGAGAGATGCGGACCCTAGCCAGTATCAGCTGTGGGCCAAGACGCCACGCGAAGATCCGCCTTATCCACTGTTTGGTCACGAAAAACCGTATTCCGTCAAGTTGAGTTGCCTGCGGGACGGACTTAGCGCCGAGGAAGGGTTTGACTTGGACCACTGCAACAACGTGCACGACCCGTTGGCCAGGTGTCATTTCATTTTGAGGTATGTCGTCGGAAATACACTACACAACTGACCGATTATTATGTATTTTTAGTTTTATTATTTAGTTTTGTATTATTGGTACATCTGCCCGACTACCCGTAAAATTATCCATCTCTACCGTTATCTATATTATTTTTTTTACCTACCTATGCCTATTATTATTTTATTATCGTCACTTTAAATTACGTAACATGAGAAATCCCTCGATTTTAAAAATAAACAAATATACACCGGCTACACTTATCATAAATTATTATTTAATGTTACCGACCGTGATAGCAATACAGCATAATGGTCGAGTCGTCGAACAAAGTTCGCTCTTATATGTATTATGTACGCTCGTGCAGAGTGTACCTCATACGCACGTGTGTGAAATGTGTATAGTTATTAAATATTATAACGCAAGTGTAATGTTTTCTGTTTTTTGTCGAACAATATTAGTTTTTTTCGTGTTACTTACGGTTTTTAAACATTTATTTTTTATTATTTCGTTTTAATCTCGGTTTAAGTGACAATATTTTTCTTCGTATTTGATGATAAAACAATGTTAACGATCTGTACCCAACGCAGGTGAACATATTTGTTTTTTTTTCTAATGATCGTGTACTCAGTATGCAATCAAAAATCAATATTGATAAGATGACATTTGTATTTGTTTACTGACGTTTATCGGCGGGGTTAATGTCTGCCTAATAAAAAAAAACTAAATGCACTACCTAATTAATAGCTGCAATAGTCCTGTGTTTTTCTTTCATCGAACCGAAATATATGTAAATAATTAATGTCACAATATCATGATTGTTATGTTTGCTATTTTTCAGGAGTGTAAAATCTCAAGAAAATGAAACGAACAAAAAGACGCCAAAAAAGTCTTCTAGTCGTATGAAAATTGGCCAGGTGTTTAAGAAAACTCCAACCAAAGAGAATGGAGGCAATTTGTTTGGTGTACCACTGAATAGAATTTGCGACGGAGAAAACCTTCCTAAGCCAGTGATGGTTAGTATATTATATTTACAAACTGATAGTGGTGTGTATTTAAAATATTATTTAGGAGTTTGAATTGAGTGTGACTCAAGCGTTCGTAATTGGATTGTCGACGAAACGTTTATAATACACATTTTCTCACACTATTAACTTAAAGTGTATTAATACATAATATTGATTGTTAGGTACTTCGTACCTAAAATGTGTTTGATTTTATCTTAACATAGAACAATTGTGTACCTACAAATCATATTTGGTTGCTACTAACTTTACGTCACATAATATATAAATTATAAGAAAGTTTTATTATTTATAATTTGTACACGTTTCGTCATAAAATTCGACTTTTGACATTTGAATATAATAAGGTACCTAACCAACTAGATATTTTAACCATCAATTCTTAATGGTTTTTTCACTTGGTACAAAATAATAATTAAATAACGATAAACAATAAAACTATTTTTACCAAATGTTGAAATATAATAAACAGAATTTAAACCGGTTGTTATAGCTGTAATATAATTAAATATATTATGGCGATGAATTAGTGGTTTAGTATAAATATGAATATAATACAATTTGTTTAATATAATATTATATAATCGTGTGTATAATAGTTTTGTTGTTAAATATAATAATACCTCATAAAGTACAGGTACTTAAAAATTATCGTGCAACGTTATTATAGCCTATCTATACAATCTAATAACATTTTACTTTTTAATATTTTATAGGGCATGTTACACCAAATTTTCTCCAAAGGACCGTTCACCCAGGGTATATTTAGAAAGTCCGCAAACGCCCGTTTAGTCCGCGAACTCCGCGAGAAAATGGACGTTTGTGAGGACGTTTGTTTGGAGAACGTTCCTGTGCTAGTTACCGCGGCCTTGTTCAAAGACATGCTGCGCTCGTTGCCCGACCCTTTACTGTGCACCAGCCTGTTCCCGAAATGGCGATCAGCTCTGGACTGTTCTAACCTACCCACGAAACTTTTTAGAATCAAAACGTGAGTGTGTTTTATTGATGTAACAAAACTATATAATTATTACGACGCCGGCCGTCTTCTTGTAATTAAACGTATTGAACTATGGAATAATTTATAATGATTTCCATTTTTCTCTTCCCTGCAGGATTATCGATCAGTTGCCCAGACCCAACTATCATCTACTGTGCCACTTCTTGTGCGTACTCTACCACATATCTCGGCGATCCACGCACAACCTCATGTCGGCGGCCAACCTGGGCGTGTGTGTTGGACCGTCCCTGCTGTGGTCCGACTCGCCGGCCATGTGTCCGACCGAAGACTTGCGCACCGTACCCGCACTGGTCGAAATACTCATCACCCACTGCGAACTGCTGTGTGGACCACACGTGCCGAACCTCCTGGGCGACCCACGGGATTCCGGCACCGAAGAATCTGACTGTAAGTGTGCTGCAAACATGCCAATAACTATTAACTACTGATCACGAGATGCACTTCAGGGGCGTGTATTCGACCCATTTCTTAATTTAAATAATTTATGCTCGCTTCATGTGCACATCCTCCCCTATTAGACCTTCTCGGTTTCAATGTAATATCTGTATCATGTTTTTTTCGCCGAGTTTCCAAAAGCCGACAAATAATGTCACCAATACCTACCAAAATATTAGCTAGATTATTTCATATTTTTTTTTTTTATTACTAAATACTATAAATAAATATACATAATACAAATATATAGTGAATTATAATTAGAAGTTAGACATTCGCCTAGAATACTGTGCGTGGTAGACTTCGACACGTCATATTACAACGCAGTGGAAAACTTTTTATTTTAAATATAATTGTATCGTATCTGATTTATAGCCATGAGACGGGACGACAGTTCTATAGACAGCCTGGAAGTGAGCCCGCCCCCCAGGAAGGATCAGATATCGTTGAGCCGGGACTCTGGACTGACGATGTCCGACTCACAGCTGTACACGCCAGACGAGGAGGAGAGTGGATCAACCAGCTCAAGTGGATATGACCCGGCGTTTGACCAGTCGCTCTCTGCCAAGACCGCCGTGTCCGCCACTGCCGTACCATCGATGCCGGGTGAATACGTGCGCGTGTATCCTGGTTGGGAGGAGAGGAAAAACGCCAACTTCCAGCGGCAGGCCTGGTTCCGACAGCGATCCAAGCGTTTAACAGCCGCGGCCAGCAAGGAGGCGGTCCGCCGAAGTGCTTCCGAAGAGTCCGTATTGGATGGAAGCGTGCCGCCGCCCACACCGCCCCGTCGCAGCAAGCCCGTCCAAATGTCCGGCAACAACAACAACAATAACAGCAGCAACATCAACAACAACAACCGGATATCTCTGGCCCCGCAACAGGACCAATACCGGAAAATGACTCCGGCTGACTACTACGATGTAGTGATCAAGTCGGAAGTAGTTGTCGAGTCGCTGCACCCGAACAACTACAACACTGAACTGACCATCAAACCCGTACTACAGCCGGTGACGCCTTACCGCAAGGACGAGTCGCAGACGGCCGCTCCAGTCCGGAGGTCGGCCGAGGTGGTCGACCGTAGGCGATATCTTCAGCAACAGCAGCACCATCAACAGCAACACCAGCAACAGCAACCGCACCACCAGCAACAGTTGACCGCGGCGACTACGGGCACCGCCACCACCACCTCAACCGCCACTACCACCACCACCACCACCACAAACGTCGCTGCCACTACTCCGGCGGAAAACTGTTGCGACGGAGAAAACGAAGAGGACTCGAGCACCCTGTCCGACGAAGACTGTACGCCGCACGTGTCCCGGAGCAACAGCCGCGGAAATGAGGTGGCTGCGGACTCGCTTAAGCTCAGGCAACATCAACCGCTCCAGCCACCGGTTGCGCACGCGGATGGCACTGTCCGGCTCCGCGGCCGGTTGAAGCGCAAAGAGGAGAAGGCCGCCGTAGCCGCTGCCAGGTCCCGGTCCTTGCCACCGCCTCCGCCGTATCGGCCCCCGCCACCAGCCAACCGCCGTGCTCCCATCACCTCGTATTACCTGGGCGAGTGCAGTCAGGCTCAGCAGCAGCGATTCGTCGTCACCAGGACATACGCTGACGAGGAGTCTTACGTCTGATGTACTGATGTACATGTCTCGGCCCTCCCTTTTTGAATTAATATTTGATGATAATATGTACATCTTAGGATGTCTCCTACGTCCCGCCATCCCTCTTTAGAGTTGCAGTATTTGTCAGTCCATGCGTTTTGTATATATTATTATTATTATTATTATTATTATTATTATTAATTATTATTTTTTATTTGTATTATTATAATATATACACTTGACAATATAAAGTATAAAACTACTTAAGTTACCTGTCAACTTGAAAACAAAGATGGGCGCTTGGATGCTATTGCTGTTTTTTTTTTTTTTTTACAATAAAATGTTCCTGATTGATATACATTATTATTATTATATTTTAAGTCCATATACGAGCTTGAGTATTTTTTTACATTGTCTAGTACTGAAAGTACATTAATTTTAATTTCTTTTTTTTATTTACATATACATTATACGTATGATAAGTGAAATATTTTCAAAGTGCTCATTGAAATGATCAAATAATCTTATGTTAAGAATTTCACAAGTACAAATGTCGTATCCACACACAAAATACCAGTGTCGTTAAACTACGATAACATATTATGTTAATACCTTCAAAATGTCAAAATTAAAAATTCTATACTTATTACTATGATTAAGTAGATTATAATAACATTCTGAAGCACTGTGATTTAAGTTATGTACAGTACCGTATTATTATAAAGTTATAATTTATGTTTCGATTTAATAATTTATCTTACCGCATAAGACTAAAAAAAAATGTATCCATGCACACTATACCGAAGTAACAATTAATTTTTTATGAAAACCTATTATACAATGTATTTAAAATTAGTATATAAAATTACTGAATTTGTGCATCGATAAAGACACAAATATTTTATTTTTTACCCTGCGTAATTATATATTATATATATAATTATGACAAATTTTATAAACTATATTTTATGATGTAACATTTAAATGTTAAATCGTTAAGTTTTGTAAGTGTTTATTTATTTTTGTTTGTACATTTTCATTGGTTTTTATTAAACATTATTAATGTTTACTTGAAATGATTGATAATCTATTATTATATTATTATTGTGTAAAAAAAAACACTTTATTTTCCAATGTCCATTTAAAATGAAAATAATAAATTACATGTAATTTTGTTTAATCATTGTTTATTGGTTAAATTTGAAATTTTTTCAGAATAAAATCAAAAATATAATATTGAATATTTGAATTACAATATTACTTATGACATATGTCTCACAAAAATTTATATATTTACATGTTACTAGAGAAAATAAATTTATTAATTATTTTTTATTTATGGGTAATTAAATAATAATTGAAGCTATTATTAACATTTAGCAGTGTTTTATTCATTATTCATATCTATTTGATTTCTGAATGCTACTTGCTTTGCTAAGTATAATCATACATTTCTGAATGAATGAAACCTAAGTAATACCATACACTAAGAAAAAATAGAAAAATAAAACTATTACTTTTGTAAATGTATATTAATATGTTCTATACTCGCCTGTGCACACGGGGCGTGTAACTGCACACCCTGCAAAAATGTGTGCTGACAATTTTTGATTGAAAAATTGTCTATTTATTTAAAACTGTTAACATTCATTATCGAGTGTATAACCTTTTATCTATTCTGTATCATATATTAATATATTATGAATACACAGACTATATTTTCTGAAGCTATACTCTATATCTTTCATAGTTTCATGTACATATTAATATATCTATGATCTCTTTTTAACAATGTTGGCATGATATTGGCAACCTATGGTATGGTATTGGCCATGGGGTACATGCAGTGGCGCAGTCCATATATTAAAATCTAGGTTACCAATAGGCAATAGCACCAATAGTTACCGATTTATAAATGATAACTAAACATCTAAACCATGAGCATTATATAATATTATGTAGTCTATAATATAGTCTAAACACATTTCTTATTTTTATATACCATACAAAATACACCATTGATACACTCATAGACATTTTTAATTGAAAAATTGTATGTTATTATAACATACTGTACAATTTGTATTCATATACTTATTATGTTATGTAATATTATAACTTTTGCCGTTGGTTACACCTTACAATTTATAATATGGGTAAGTAGGTAATAGAAATAATGAGTATTTTTTTTTTTTTGTATTTTAATGGTTACCAATGGTCATTCGGAAGAAAAATCATGCATCAAATCATCGTGTTCAACGAATAAAGAATTTATATGAATAAATATCAGATTCGAATTTGATATGTTTGTAGATTATGTATACTCAAAAACTACTCAACATAATTTTGTGAAAACTTCTAATTGTTCAGTGAGATATAATCAAAGTTTAGAGAGTACTAAGATTGTTCAAGCTATACCTTCAGGTATAACTCAGTAAAAGGTAGTTTGAATCATGTTTGATTTCTACCCAGTACTATATTATATTATCCAACAGGCAAATTGTTCACCTCAAGATGAATTAGTTTACAAATCGAGATAGTAACACATACGCCGATTTGCCAGTGAACTTATGTACTTACACAGTTACACTAAAACCAAGATACACCATACACCTATAAAGAGCTATATTTTATATATTTTCATTTTTACACTGGCTAATTCAATAGTTAAATAGCTAAAAGCGGATGTTAATTTATAAAAAAGTCAATAGACTTAAAAACTACTGAACTGTTTTCTATAAAAATTAGGGATGTAGTCAATAGATTCTTTGAAACTTAGAATATGAAATAGCTTTTTTCAACCCCTACACTCTACAGCCTATAATGTATAGGTAGCTCACACATTATTTTAGTAAGGTAATGTAATTTCTTAAATCATTATTTAAGAAAAAAGAATATATTTTTTTTTTTGATTATTTAAATGATTACGAAACATATTAATATATTATGGATGAGACAGCTATATAGTTATACAATAAAACCAACTGTATTTTTGTCTTACTCTGGGGTGCATCTATAAATTGTTTTCGGGATAAGGGAGTTGATTATTTTTACTAGCATGTATTTCAAATGTATTTATTTCACTAGGTGGAACCTACTATTTTTCTAAATTCGTTACCTAATTTTCTAACTTCTAATTCAAAAGTTTACGGCATTAATAAGTTGAATTTTTGCAAAAAAGTATTCAAAAATTTTTGTTTTTACTATAAAACTATGAAAGAGATGGAAAATCATGTTTCAACCATTGTTTGATTATTGCATAAATTTTAAAGGAGAATGAGCGTATTGCGACCTTCCAAATTTGACCAATTATGTAAATGGCAATCTAGACGAAGACAAACCATAAAATCAAACACTTGTTACTTGGCCATTTCCATGTAAATTTTACTTGTTTTTGTATTTAGAAGTATTTCCGATATTATGTAGTTAAAAATGTATAACGTGTTTGCCGTTAGGTATTCTAAATTCTCGTCGTATGCGGTCTACCGCACACTTGTTATCCATCATGTTTGTTTCTACATGCCATATGCTGTCTATCACTTACTTTTTATAGTTAAAATAGTAGGACTAGGTATAGTTGAATTACAGTATATTAGATTTAATGATACACAATCGTTCAATAATTCACATAACAATATTTAAAACATTTAAAAAGAAAAAAATAATATTTTTGTAAAATAAATGCAAATATAATATGTCTAGGTATATCAGTATAATATGTTCTAAAAATTAAAAATTAAAAAATTCGTCATTTTAATTATTTATATTAGGTACAATATAATTTAAAGTCTCGTAAAAAACATTAGAATGTATTGTTTGTTTGTTTTTTTGACGCCACGAAAACTTTTTTATGAAATTGTAATATTAGTTTAAAATATTTATATAATATTTGCATTTACATTGTAAGCTAGGTTGTAAGTTATGGTTATCCTATTTTGTTTGAGACTTTAGCCAAGTCATCAAGAACTTCATCTGTACTCTGTAGTTAAAACTATTTCAAGATAAATAATTAGTGATGCTAAACTATTTACTCGATTTTCTCCAGTAGTGTTTCTGAGGTATGACTTTTTAAGGTAGAAAATTACCTTTCACTGCTTACTGTAGTTAGAGGAAGCGTAGCTGGTATGAATGTAATGAGCAACTGAGCAAGTGGATATTTTTTAGCAATGTGGGATTGTACACCGTTAAAGCATCCACTCATGGCAGCTGCCCATTAAAACCTTGCCCTCTTAAATATTTCAAATCAATACCAATTTTATCAAGTGTATTTAAAAGTGTGTTTGCTAAGCCCATATCTGTTACATAATTAACAGGAACAAATATTAAGAAATCCTCTCGCATTTTCATTGAAGAAAAGTCAAAATAACGTGCCCAGAGTCACAGAGAGAAAATTGGTAAATTCCCGGTATGCCGGCAGTTTCATCTGCTAATACCGTGAAACATTGAGCAGCGTTAATTTTTGAAATAATTTGTTTTAAAATTAAATTTGAACAAGAACTAAAAATTTGGTTTGAATATCACCACTAATAGAATTTGCGTTTCCATGATCAGTTTTTAAATGTTCATCTAGGTTTATATCACCAGACAACTTTAAATCACAAAAGTCAAATCATAGATCATAAAGACATGAATAGTGCAATAACGTCCTCCTTTTTTAGGCTAAGTAGGGATGGGAGGGTAGTTTGAACCCCCCCCTCCACTGGCTTGCTTCGAAATATACTTGAGAATATCTGGCAATATTTGTTTTTTCTTCTCAAACCTATGAGCAACGCATAGATAAAACGCATTTCATGTAATTTTTGAGAAATCTTAGAATTAAATCAACTATTACTAGAATTATTAAACATAATATATTTGGAACAAAACTTCTTTACCGGAAGAACTTTTTTCCAGTTGTTGTTTCTAAAACCTATGTATTTAAACAAGTTGAACAATGGTACAAAATTAAATTGGAGGAAAACATTAGTTCTTAAGTTATAATAATATATAACCTTATAGAGTTACCCATTTTCGGTGTTTTATGCATGCGCACAACGCTATAATTTACCATGTTCATGGCGAATTTTAAGTTCACTCGGACGACTTAAAACGAAAATATCCCACGATTTGCTATGCAAAACCACCCCAAGTAAATCACCGGGTAAAACTAAAAAATTGCTGTAAGTATAATTTTTAAACCAACAATTTCCACCAATTTTTACTAACACTTTTTTCAAAAGTATTTAAAAACACCCATTTTCAGAAAAAAAGGTCCCCTGTATAGTACTTTTACACCCTCAAAAGTATTATTCGTTACAATTAAATATTAGTGTAATATCTAAATATCTAATGATTCTAATGGGAGATTTTACCCTAAGAGTAATCGGATGTATAAGAAAAAATGACTGGGTGAATGCATAATATTGCGTATTGTCTATTTTGTGTGTGCACCATAGAGGGAAAACTGTCATAAGTCATAACTGGTGATAACTGATAACAATGTTCAATTTGAGGTTATGTTATTCTGTAGAATAATACTGTGATATTTTGTAAGGCATGTTTTTGTTTTGAAATTCTTGCATTTTGGAGTTTTCTTAAATTTTTATATTGTACGTTTAGTAAATTGGTTTATTTATTAAAATATTTAGTTCTATGAAAGATAATATGTCTGCCAAAAAGTTTACGGACACTGAAAAGTGTCTTATATATGGAGATACATATTCAAATATATATAATGAAATAATTGTTTCAGGTACAAATTACTATTGTGTACATTATTTTTTTCAAACATGGCATTAAAGT